AGATTTTTGTGTTGCTGTCAAGGACTCTCCCCAAACAGAGAAGAAACCTGACCTTTTTTCAGTATCTGATCTCTGCTTATCCTACCAGGGAGCTGCTGTGAGGAAGGCAAAGACCAAAGTCTCCCTACCTCCTGGGTGACCAAAAAGCTAGGTGCTGTAGGCGCTGAGCTGTGGTGGCCATAGGACTTGTAGAGTTTCTGTTTAGAGCTGAACCAGTGCCCTGAGTCCACTGAGGCTAACGCCTGCCCTCTGTTTGTGCCAGGGCCCTTGCTAATGGTTTCTGTTTATCTCAGGCATTAGCTCTGTTTAAGTTACTGGAGTTCTCTTTCAAATCAGCCTGACTAGGGCTCCTCACACCCCTCCTCACTTTGATCTTCCGAGGAGCCCAAAACCAAAGCTCAGGGTTTGACTGGCTTGAGATAGGGCCTGAGCAAGTCTAGATGCCAAGGTCCAGGTTGTTTGTGAGTAAAATGCTGGAGAGGTGGTATCAGGGCCTGACCCCCCAGGTTCAGACCCTAGCTCCAAGGTGAACTGACTGTGGCCTTGGGCATGCTACTTTCTGTCTCCTTGCCTGTTCTCTATGTGAGATGGTAATAGTGACAGTCTCAACATCTTGATGTTGCTTTTGGGAATTGGTTGGCATACGACCTTGTGCTTAGTAAGAGCCTGGTATAGCTGGGCTGTCTGTCAGCAGTGTACAGTATTCCTTTTCTCTGATGCTGCTGCAGACGCTGGGCCCACAGCAGTGTGACTTACAGGACTTTCAGGCTCTGTCGTCTTTAGTGTCACTCTTCTGGAACATAGTAGGTCCTTTATGATGGAAAGAGCAGTCTTAATAGCTGGTGTTGCTTAGCACCTGCTGCATGTCCTGTGCATTGCATATCTTGTATGGTCCTCACAGTTGCCAGCTGAGGAAACAAGTGTTCAGAGACTTGTCAGCTCCATACAACCAGTGAGCCTGGATTCGGTCCAGGCTGCTCAAGGCTGAGGCTTTCTTCCACCTGGTGCTACTTGGGCTTCACTGTCCCTGAAGCCACAGGCCTGGCTACTTTGCAGGGAGGCTACGCCCTCTGCAGTTGGAGATGCCACCTGTGCTCTTCCCTGTGCTGTGTGTGTGTGTGTGTGTGTGTGTGTGTGTACACTTGCAGGATCAGGGAGTTGCTCAGATCTAAGGTTCTTGTGGCAGAGCTTGAAGAGTAGGCTCTGTTACAGTTATTTTTTTATAAAACTGTGTTTGTTTCTCAGTTTCTCTCTTAACCTGGCTTTCACACAAATAATTGAGACTCTATTATGTTATTTTAACAAACTTCACAGCACACGAACTGAGTAGTTATTAGTCTATTCTTAACCTTCTAAACTAATTTGGCTTCCTCTCAATGTACATCCCAGAGATACTTGCACTTTGTAGCTTTCATGCTACAGCTCCTCTCCTGATCTTATTTCTCTCTCCTGTGGCTGAATTCCTCCTTGACATCTGCCCATGGCTGAATCCCCTACTTCCTCTTCCAACTCCTCCTCCAGGCTGGCAGGAAGTCCAGCCCTATTACCTCCCCTGCTCAGTGATTGGCAAGCTGCTTTATTGGCATATCAGGGGACAACTGGGAAGTAGTGTTTACACAACATTGAGAAAGGAGATTGTCAGAACAAGGACTGCAACTAGATATGGGAGTACAGAAATCAGCATTTGAATTACACAATAACCTTATGCCTTCAAGGCCCCATTCCTGAGTCACAAGTGGAAACTCTGTGTCTGTTAGCCAGCTCGTAGGGTTTCTGCTGCCTGTTTCCCCATCTTCTGTGTTGTTTGTGACTAAGCCACAAGAACAGCCCCAGCTCCATAGCTCACCCCTGTAGGAGTGAAAGTGTTTGATCCTCTCTCCTTTATACTTGATCCTCTAATCCATCTGAAATTAATATTCCCCTGCTTGGGGTGCCTTCTTTCTTCTTGCCTCATTGTCCCAGCATGTAGCCAGTTGCTTCTGGCACTAAGAGCTGGTTTAGTGATAGCTGCCTCTTCTTGCCAGTAGATTGTGAACAGAAGACCCATGGCATCCTGACAGGGACAGCCATAGCCCATGAAGCATGCGTCTGGCCATCCAGAATCACTCCGGAGTTAGGGCTCAGTCTTATCTCTGAAAGATGTTTTGGCAAGAGCTCTTGATGTCTCTAATTTTCTGCTCTCCTGGCTGGGAGAATGAGTGACAGGAAATGTGCCTATTTTTGTAAGACGACAAAGAAAACATAATTTGCTTGGCAGATTAAAAGGGAGCCTAGAGAATAAAAAACCATTCAGAAGTGGTTTTGGTTAGCACGCTAAACTTAAAGTCAGACTGGAAGCTCTGTTGGCCAGGTGTGGTCAGATAGTGCCTCTCAGTGGGGGCCAGTTTCTTCTCTGACGTATTAGGGCACTGTAACAAAGGTCACAAGAGCAGTGACCTCAGCAGGAACTGGAGGGGTTAGTGTTGCCTTCCTGTAGTAACTGGCTACTCCCATGTCTGCCTGAATCTGGGAAGAGTCCTTCTGCAGTGCTACTCTGCCATTCCCAGTGTTGTCTATCTAGTGTTCTGAGACAAGTGTGCTGTTGTCCTTCATCACAGACTCATTCCAGTCCTGGGGTGGAGGTGAGAGAGTATAGTGAGAACTGGCTCAGTGACCATGCTATTGTCACTTGTAAGCACATAACACCAGGGAACCTGGAAAGGGTAGTCTTTAACTGGGCAGCCATGTGGAATTGTAATAGTAGAGGTTTTCAGGTCGGGGCTGGGAACTGCCTCATATGGCACAGGATTGAGACTGGAGGATGTGGCTCAGAGCCTTGGCTGTCACATTAGTTCACCTACCACGAGCTAGGCATAGATTCCATGCTAGACTCTAGTGCTTCACTTGAGATTCAGAAAGAACAAGCTAGCCCTTGCTTCAGAATTCTCCCTTACAGTGTAGGAGTAAACAGGTAAACCAAAGCCCAGGTCAGCGTGTCTGAGCTTCCTAAGGCAGCTGGATTGAGTTGGGCTAGGCATGAGATGGGGGAAATTAGCAATGCCTTGGTAGGACTGTACTGGACTCTGTAAGGAAGAATAACGGTTGTGTCTCCAGGGTACTTAAGCAGGCCCCACACTGGGGGCCGAGAGCCTGCTGCTATGCGGAGACACTCTTGAGTTTCGGGTGTCACACTTTTCTCCTGTTCTGACCCCAACCTGATGCTTCAGCCTTGTTCTAAGCATACCTACCTGTCCTCTTCCCCAGACACTTTGTTCTCTGTCCTTTCTGTTCCTGGCTTTGGTGCAGACTGTGCCATTCCATTCCCTTAGCCTCATGCCTTTTCTGCTGGGCTCACCAATCTGGCCCTGCTCTCTCCCTATGGTATGGCTCCCATTTTATAAAATGGGAGTTGTCAGAATTCCCATAGTGAGAACAGGAAACATAGAAACTCACAACTTTCAAGGAAGTTTCTTTCTTTCTTCCTTCCTTCCTTCCTTCCTTCCTTCCTTCCTTCCTTCCTTCCTT